CAGCTGCTTGTTTAAGTGAAAATACATTGTTAGTGCAAAAAACCCACCAAAGTTGTAAAGTATTTTGTTTTGCTTCAGTTAAATCGTTATTGCAAATTTTCAAATATATATCGTGATAAATATTTTTGGCCAAATTGCCCTGCCCTACTCCCAACAACCCTCCCAAAGAGGCCACACTTTGCAGTTTTTCCTAACTTTGAACACATGCAGACTGACACCAAGTCAAGAAGTCCAAGCTGCAGCTCGTGGGATTTTTTTGCAGTTTCCCTGCAGTTCTTGCACTTTTCCCCTCAGCACTGCCCGGTCTGACGGGGTCAGTATGCTGGGACACCCAAAGCTGTGAGGATTCACAGCTGTGTTGAATGTTTGCGACTTGTGAATAATCTCTCACTGCAGAATGATGGGCACATTCTTTCACAGACTGATGAGCAGCAGCAGTTGCTTCTCTGAGATTACTGATGTTGTTCCTTCTTGACATCCTGTTAACAGACCAGCAAACTGACAAAATTCAGCTTTTATAGCAGTGCTCACACTTCCTGATGATCAGTTACTCAAATGCATTTGATTAACTGGCTGCTACCTGCAGCAAATATAGCCTTTGGCCAGCTACAGCAAAAGCAGTGGAGGTTATTCGCTGCCTCACACAGAGACTTTCTACCCGGGAGGAAAATATATGCAAAATACCCAAACCCATGCACTCATCCTGAACGTCAAGGTGTGTGTGAAAATTAAGCCACTAGTCAAATGGCTCTCACTTTCCTCCTGTGAGCGGTCTAAAAAAACAAAACAAAGGAAACACTTTTATCAAAAGCATCTCTGCTGTTGCTACAAAGGATGAACGACACTGTGGAAACCAGTGTCGGTAATCTTAAAAATCTAAAGACGCATAAAGAGAGACTGCAGAAACCAGGCGTCCATCTGACTGGTGGATACAGCTCAAAATAATCAGGCCTAACAAGTGGATAAACATTTAGGGAGTATTTAGATGAATCATACAGACGGAAACGTAGTCTGTTTGGAGCTCCTAGTACTGGAATCCACATGTGAAAGTGTGTCGGCTTGCAAACCACTGGGATCACTGATCCCAGTGGTTTAAAAAAGAAGACAGTTGCCCAACAAATTCTAGGCAGGAAGTGAGCAGAGTCAAGAATCTTAAAATAACCTCTCCAGAGTCTGAATGTTTAGTTTCCCCCAATTTTCCCTGGCCTGGGAAGGGGTCATGGGAAAACCAAATAAGCAGTGGGGAAGCAGCGAGTGTGTCAGAGGTGGGGCTGGATCAAAGCAGTACACTGGGAAACGCCCAGGAACGCTCCAGTAGGCTAACAAAGAAGGAAAAGTGTTGGAACAGATGATTATAGAGGAAAGAGAACAGCGCTCACCTCTTTAGATCCACAGTAGTGACGTTGAAGACGACTCCTTTCAGCCACAGAATCATGAAGAGTCTCTGGGAGAAGGGGCAGTTC